GTATTGTGCATGCTAGGTTGTATCTTAGATTGTATTCTGTCATTGCCTTGGTTTGCGTGCCCGTGTGCACGCATTTCGAGGCACTTCATTTTTATCCGCCGGTATCCTATGTGAGTGTGGCTGAGGCTCACTCATGTTGGTATAAGCCCATTTGTCATTTCCCCTCATTTTCATAGCATTCTATCATTGCCTCGGTTTGCGTGCCCGTTTGCACGCATTTTGAGGCACCTCATTTTCATTGCATTCTATCATTGCCTCGGTTTGCGTGCCCGTGTGCATACATTTCGAGGCATCTCATTTTCATTACATTCTGTCATTGCCTCGGTTTACGTGCCGGTGTGCACGCATTTCGAGGCACTTCATTTTCATTGTATTCCGTCATCGCCTCGGTTTGTGTGCCCGTGCGTACGCATTTCAAGGCGTCTCATTTTTAGTACATTCTGTCATTTTCTCGATTTGCGTGCCCGTGTGCACGCATTTCGAGGCATCTCATTTTCACATCATAGTGCATACTAGGTTGTATCTTAGATTGCATTCTGTCATTTTTCTCAGTTTGCGTGCCCGAGTGCACGCACTTCGAGGCATCTCATTTTCATAGCATTGTGCGTGCTAGGCTGTATCTTAGTTGCATTTCATGCATATCATGCATATTGCATCGTGTCCGGAATAGGAGTTAGCCCGGGCACGGGAAACGAGGTACATTTCGTACTCCGAGTGACGGAATGTGTCTCAATTCCCCAGTCACCGACACTTCGGATTATCCATGATGGAGTTAGGTTTTAGCTGTAGTTTCATGTGCATTCATCCTATATTGAGTTGTGCATTTCGACTCCTCGGCCATCATGCCTCGGTATGCGTGATTGGTGGCACGAGGATTGAAACATGCATATATCTGTGCAAATACATTGCTATGCCCCTTTCTTGCTCTCTGTTGCAGCAAAATGAAGAATCAGCAACCTTTTGGAGCTTGGCACGCATTTCAAGAACAGGTGTAAACAGAGGCTAATTGGGGCATTCCGGTGGATTTCCGCGCAAGACAACCCGGACATGCATCATCCATCAGAAGCAAGAATGAATCTGCCTTTGCCTCAGTTGATTAATGAACGGAACTGCTGAACAGTAGTAATTAATGGATTGGCGCAAAGGATTGAAGAGATCACTTCGGGAATGCTGCACCCATAATTAATAAGTGGGGTGAGGGCTGCGTGCGCGTAGGTGCCATTGTTGTGTTCAAATTCAACAAATTGCGAAAGGGAAAAAAGCATTCTGTCAAACCAAGCTGGACGACCGTAGATGGCAAGAAGCCTATTCTTCAACAGCAGAGGGGAGGGTAGGACACTGGCGGAGCTGGACTCAGAGATGAATCGAGGTGGCGAGCCTACATGTATAGAGAGTAGGACGTTGGGGGAATGTGAGAGGCGTCACTCCCCACGTCATCGAAGTAGGTCACCCTGGAAAGAGAAGCAGCCACAAGGTAACTCCCCCTACTTGAAATGAGAAACTAGTGGGCCACCGCGCCCGTTGAGTTTTTCGGTCTTCGTTGGGAACAAACCGATGACGGAAGCGGATTCAAGATTTGTATGGACTTTGACATTTAAAGTTATTTATTTTTTGTATATAGATGCAGATTGTGGAATGATTGATAGTATGTATCATTTTGTTTATATACATATTACAGGTTGCATGGAATATAGATAGGTTGTGGAGAAATAACAATTTTGCGATAAAACATAATATCATGTTTTTGGCGACTAAATATGTTGTGCGCATCACATAGTAACCTAGGCTAATAACCGGAATAAGAATTCACAATGTTTTCAAAAATTGATATCGTGGTTAGTAGAGGCCGGTCTATGACTGGGCGAGCGGGGGTGCTCACGAAGTGACCTTCCCCAATCATATCCAAGTTCCCGAGCCGAGGCAACTTTGGTGATGACGGACACGTGGCCTTTTGGCACCGAGTCAGGGTTTCCTAAATTTCCCAAAATAAAATATTTAGGTGGCGACTCTGTATCTGGCAAAGCAGTCCATATTTGGCACTACTTTTTCAAAAAATCAGTTTCTTAAAACGATTTGCCGGATTTGGACTCTTTGATTCAGATTAGGAACCGTGACATTTAAGAGTCCGAGCTGTAGTGACCCCAAATGAACAGAACGGGACTAACCCTCCCGGGGCGTTCGGGGACGTCAACAATGGCATACCATTGTGAGAGTTGTATCCTTGGCTTACTGTGCATATAGCCGGTAGAGCAGAGTTTTATTATTTTGTCTCAGTGTATCTGAGTATATCATGGATTGTGATGGTTACAGTTTTGGAGGGCCGAGTTGCCTTATTTGTTAATTTTATACATGTTGATGATTTGTTATCTCCCTTATATTGAAGGCATGCATGTATAGATATGAATGTATTGGAAACAAACCAATATGCCATTATGAGATTTTGGGAAAGTGTGAAGGAAAATTGGGTATTTGAAAGTATATTTTGAAAAAGAAAAAATCTGTTGTAAGTATGGAAAATGGGAGAAAGGTAATGGGCTTAGAGAAATTTATTTTTCTAAGAAATTGTTATTGTTATGAAAGTTTGGGAACAAGGGATAATGAAATGAAATGAAAGATGAATCGCTTATAGCGTTGAATGAATGGCTGTTTTCGAGAAAAATTCATACTTATGTATATTTTGTATAAGCTGCCACATTATTATTCTAGTATGAGATGGAGCATTCATGATCATAGCTATCTGTAAGTTGTTATTGTTGAGGGCCATGTTGAGATCCCTACTGGACTATATGTTCATCCCACGCTGTACTCTGTTTTACTGTATTACTGTTCTGCAGGCCTTCGGTAATCTCGGATTACTGGCCGGTTACGGTGCTAAACCCATAGGGCCGGGTTTGGGTCGTGACAGTAAGCCTTCGGGTATTTTATTTAGTATGCTCATGTTGTATTTAATTTGCATTCGGATGAGAGAATTGTTATTTATTTCTACTCATGGGACTAAAGAGTTTATTTCCGCATGTTATCTTTGAACTTGAATTAAGTTAATGAATTTGGTAATGACTTCGAGAAATAAAAAGTGGGGTGTTACAGTGTGGGTGATGATAGTGACAATAATGGTTGTGTAGTAGGAAGATAGCTGTGGTGTTACTTATGTGAGGTAGGATAGACTTGGTGAAGGCAGAGGTAATGGACTAATGGCGGCGATTTTTTATGGTCATTTTCTCCTACCCTGCTCTGTACTACATCCTTTGTCCTACTTCGCACCTACATCCCTTGCCTCATCTCGCACAAAATTTCCCTGCCTTGATTAAGATGTGTGACAGGACTGGTTTTGTTTCCCCCGCTCCGTTCCACCCAAACCCTACCCCAGTTATATTTATTAAATATATTTATATGTATATAATATATATTAGTTATTTATTTTTCATTATAATAAAGTTAAAACATTAAATTATACTTAATATTAATTTTTATTCATTTATTTTCTATTTTATATAATACAATTCTTATTAAGTATTATTATTTGTAATATACTAATGTTTTTATTTTTCAATTTACAAAATTAACCTGCTTCCCTTCTAGCGTCCACCCCTTCCGTTACTTCCCGATTTGCCCCGCTCTTGATATGATACGGGGCGGGCACGAATTTCTATAAACCCGTCCAAAATCTGACATGTGACCATCTCTATCGGTGGTGATGATTGTGTAGTGGTGGTAGGGGTGGTAATGACACTAAAATTAACATAATAAGCAGCACTAAAATTAATAAATGAGTAACTAGAAAGTTAAGAAAATTAACATAATTTTTTTATATTATGAATTTATAATTTACACTATAATTTGAAAATTTCCAAAAAAAAGAAAAAGAAAAAGCCCTCACGTTCAAGCCTAAAGCCCAATCTCAAGCCCTTGGTCCTTGAATACTGGGCTTAGGGGAAGGGCTTAGGAATTTGGAAATGGGTAGGCCAAGCTAGCCCAATTTTTGAAGGAGCCCAATTGGCAATCAAGAATTTTATTACTATCATTTTATCCTCACATATAATTATCATTCATTTTGTTGTAAATGATAATTTTAAAGGTAAAAAAGGTAAAAAATCATAATATATCTATACACATATGTATATATATATATATATGTATATATTTGTTTTTAAAATGGTAATAAGTGTACTCATAAAAAAAAAAATGTGTGTGCAAGTAGTAAAAAGGGGAACATTTTTTACTTTTAAATCTATATATATTATCTTCTCTTCTTCTTCTTCTTCTTCTTCTTTTTTTTTTTTTTTTAAGGATAAATTACACTTTATCCTTTTTCATGTTTGATAATTTTTTTTTATTTTAATTCTTGAGTTTGTTTTTTTTGTTAAATTTCTAACTGTTCACCTATACAATAATAAAATTATTTAAATTATTAAATGAAATAAAATTTTAATATTATTAAAAACTGTTAATTAACTTGATAAATTATTAATAATAGTACTTATTTGTTATGAAATTAGAAACCTTAGAAGACATAATGTAATTTTCAAAATCACAGAAATAATTTATAATTTAAGTAAACCTTATAGAGTGTGTTTGTAATTTATCATTTTTTTTTCTACGATTGCTAATACTAATTCTAAGAACTTATTTTTTTTATATCTAAAAAAAAGAAACACTAAAAATCATATTTTAAATATTTTAAAAATCATTCTTTATTAAAAAAATTATATAAAAATAATGAGTATTTATTTATTTTTACCAATTTAAATTTAAAAAATCAAAATAAATTCTATCAAAGGGAAAATGTTGGGTTTCGCCATTGAATTCGTTGAAACAGAACACTTCATTCTAAGTGCCCTAAAAACCCCGACCACCTGAAATTGGAGGGAGGGGGGGAGAGAGAGAGAGAGAAGATGCCAGTGGCACGACCCGAATCATCTGTTGCAAGGGTCATCGCTCACCTTGACATGGACTGTTTCTATGTTCGAGGTTTCCTCTCTCTCTCTCTCTCTCTCTCTCTCTCTCTGTTTTAATTAATTGTCGGGGTTTTTAGGGCACTTAGAATGAAGTGTTCTGTTTCAACGAATTCAATGGCGAAACCCAACATTTTCCCTTTGATCTTCTATATTTATTGGGTTACAAACATACAACTTCAATTTTGTTTTCTGTTTATTTATTGAAATTATTAAGTGCCTGATCACTGTTTTTCCTAATCAAACTATTTTTCATATTTTAACCCAATTAAGCAATTTTACAAGCATGTAACATGCAAAACCATGAGAACCCAATTCTGCAATTTTATAAAGATGTTATACATGACCATTGTCTTTAATTCTTGACACTATTATGCTCTATTGGTTCACTGGAAAGTGAGATGGAAATTGGAATATAATAGAATGATCATTCCGTTACATTGGTAAATGATGATTCTATTTGTAGTGTAATTTTTAATTTTTGTTTTGGTCAACCAAACATGCATGGAAATGGATATTTTGATGGAATGATCATTCCATTCCAGTGAACCAAACATTACCTTGGAGTCTTGTAGAACTAAAACATGTATGCTTCGATGCAGGCTGTGCAGTTCATGATGCTATTTTTGTTCATTTCTTCTAATTATTATTTAACTGATCGCTGTTATTCATTATCAAACTCTTGCATTATAATCCAATTAAGCAATTTCACAAGCATGCAACATTTGAAACCATAAAACCCAATTTTGCATCATGATTTTAATTGTAAATAATACACGTGGGTTAAAAATGCATATCAAACAGAAATTGACTTCGGTTTCGTTACATCATAAATGGAATATAGTTTAGTTTAGATGAAGAGACAATCTTTTTATCATTAACTGAAATCAAATATGATTTCGCAAACCCTTGCCAATTATCATATGTTTTCCCTATTTTTGTTTGCATGTCACACTGCAGTTGAGTGCAAGAACACCATTCTGGCAGAGCTCCCATTTCATTGTTTTCAGTTTTCTTTAAATAATGATGGCCAAAGGCTCACCAAAAGAGAGAATAACGTAATTTTCGTTGTGGACTTTCTTATGTTGTGATATGGGATCCCTGATTTGGTCAGGCTAATTGGTATTTGTTTTGCCTATGTAGTGGAGCAACGCAAACAGCCCCATTTAAGGGGTTAGCCCACTGCTGTGGTACAGTACAACTCCTGGAAAGGTGGGGGTTTGATTGCTGTCAGCTATGAGGCCCGTAAATATGGGTTGAAGCGGTAAGTATTCGTTACTTATATTTTCTGAGTACTTCATGTATGACTGGATCTTCTTTGACTGATGAAATCTATTATGTCGTTTTTTTAAGTTCAATGCGAGGTGATGAAGCGAAGCAAGTTTGCCCACAAATCCAACTTGTCCAAGTCCCAGTTGCTCGTGGTAAAGCTGACTTGCGCATCTACCGAAATGCGGGTTCAGAGGTTTAAAGAATTCATAGGTGATCTTCACAGTTCTAAGATTGTTATATGTAGAAATTCACTATGAAAAGGAACTCATGGCTGAGTAAGCTTAAACTTGCAGGCGGTTTCTATTCTTGCAAGGAAGGGTAGATGTGAGCGTGCTTCAATTGATGAAGTGTATCTTGATCTCAGTGATGCTGCTGAAGCAATGTTAGCAGAAAATCCTCCAGAGAGCTTGGACAAAATTGATGAAGAAGCTCTAAAATCTCATATCTTGAGTCTTAATGAGGTAATTAATGGGGCTTCCTTGACAAACACCAAAAATTTTTTTGGTAGGCTTTCTCTGGGACATTTAAGTTGGAGTATGACGTGGAATTGTCAATTGATGTCGAATGAGTACTATATTTGCGGGTTGGAAGTTCAAGTAGGTTCAATCTTTTAAGTTTTAAGCATATGATAGGCTTTATCTGGCAGTTGAAGTTCTTTTGGCGTTCTAGGTTGGTGATTTTCATGCTATTTAGTACGTTACAAATTCGAGAATTTTATTTTATATTTTTTTGTAATATTAATTAGATAATCAAAGAAACATTGCATTGGTTTATAAAGTATATGCAATGTTATTGGATTTCAGTTTTGGCTATTGCTATACATACGTTAGAATTGTTCTTTGTTGATGAATGTATACCAAATGGTCGATGACACATTGAACCTTTCATCTGAAAAATTGAGATAACAGATAATCGATATTTTCAAATAATTAATTTATAGCATGAAATCACATTGAATTAGATTCTATTGTATCAGAATATTTTCAGATAATTAATGTAAATCTCTCTACCAAGAAACTAATTGGTGAGGGAATAATTGAAGAAGTTCTTTTCTTGAATGACTTAATTCCATGCCTGTTCATTTTGCATTTCCAACAGTTGCTATTCTAATATTGGTGTTGGATCTAGGATAGAAGTGATCACAAAGACAATGTGAGGGAGTGGCTCCACAGGGGTGATGCCGATCACCTTGATAAGTTGTTAGCTTGTGGGGCCCTTATTGTTGCAGAACTTAGGATGCAAGTTTTGAAGGAAATTGAGTTCACATGTTCTATCGGAATCACTCATAACAAGGTGGGATTGTCACGCCCCAAAAATAAACCCACATAGCTATAACATCAACCCATTCCCAAAATGAGATATTAACTAGTTTCATTTACATAATTCCGAATGTTTACAAAAGTATTCTCACATGCCATTATACATTTATTCATAACTAGTATATGAGTCTATAACATGTAACAAGAATCATTAAATCACAACGAATAAGGCCATCAAGGGCTTACAGGTTCCAAGGCAATAGCCCGGTTACACATAATGGTCACTCGGACCCAAACGCATTAGCCCTTGGCTTACAAAAAAGTATCACAACAACATAAGAGTTAAACCACTCTTCTTCAAAACATTTTCACGCCCTTAGCTTGGCGGGGTCACCACATCCTTACCTGCACCAATTCCCATAGGGGTGAGCATAAAGCCCAGTAGAGATTCCTCACAAAGTATATACAGTTATGCCAAATCCATCAACGTAAAAAAAAATGCATATGGAATGCCATGCAAGTGGCAATATTGAAGGAAAATTTTATTTCAATGTACTATTTCAAAATCATCATGTTCTCAATAATATTCAATGAAACATTTTAAAGTCACCATGTTCTCAATAATATGTATCAATCTCATCAATTTCAAACTTTCAATATTTGAATCAACAGGGGCGATAAATACGACACTAGTAATCCCCAGGCTGGTGTCTGCAAGTAGGCTCTACGAGCATTACCAAACTGCCATTTTTACCGGTGCTAACCGGAAGGCTCGACACCTATTCGCGCGGCTTTCAGGTCTTTCACCATGGATACTCAGGCCAACTTATCAAATTCATCTACACCCCCTATCCGGATTTATCAACGTATTTACCCCATACACATTTCCATTAGTTCTCATTACAATATAATCTTTCTCAAGTAAACATGATGAGAATGCAACAATGGTAATAATTCACTTCATGCACATTGATGATATTAAATCAAATGGAAATGAGATGCAATAATTAATATCTCATAACATTTCTCTATTTTCAAAATGTCTTAACAACAATAATAAACAAGTACCTTTCTCACTTTCACAAATGCATTTCTCATTTTGCAAAATAATCATGTGTCTTCAACACATCACCACAATTTCTCAACACTAACTCATTATGACCAAGCCTTTCAATATGTTCAACATGTCATCTTTTATTTCATTTCCCATCACATTAAAATTAAACATTTTTACATCATCTACGGCACTCAACAACGTGCCACGTTACAACTCTACACATATATATTTATCAATGGACTTTAAAGGTGGACCTCCATTTTTATACATACATTAAGAAGTTGTTATTTGCAACTACATCACAAAATCAATGCTCATTCACCTTTCAATCACGAGAAAAGAAAAAAACTTCCATAGGCATTTCTACATTTTAAGAAAATCCTCAATTTCTAGGGTTTTTGTCAAAAACTCAGCATTTCTTCACTTCATGGTGAGAACCCAATCAAATCATGTTTTCCATAAATTTTGTAAAAGAACATCTTTATGGATAGGAAAGTGATGAAGATCAAACCCATTTCCTTCAAGCTTCCTCAACATTTGGAGTAAAACCCAAAATCAACACAACTAGTTCAAGAAGACTTCTAAATCATCATTAATCTTACATAACATGTATATATAACTCAAGAAATCCCTACCTCAAGGTGTTGATGATGGAGAGAAGATGGAACCCTAGCTTTTGATGGAATAATCCTTCAACCTCTACCACACCATGAGAGATCCTAGCTCTAGATCTTCAAGATTTAGAGGAAGATGTTGATGATCTTGACTCAATATTTGCACAATCAAAGTGTTTTGGTGTTTTGGAGAAGTTTTCTAGAGAGAAGGGGGAGAGAAATAAGGTTTAGAGTGAGAGAGGAGTGTGTATAATGGATGAAATATTCGGACCAAAATGTTATATAAAAATAGAGCTCGGACTGCCTGTTTGGCTGCTCGTGCGGCCTTCCTCGCCGCACGTGCGGCCACCTTGACCGCTCGTGCGGCCCACTTCTCCGCTCAAGCGCCCTAGACAGTATGCAAAATTCTGGGTCCAAGCCTCTACCGCTCGAGTGGCCTAGCCCACCGCTTGAGCGGCCCAGCCTCGCATGTGCGGGGCCCTAGGCCACAAGTGCGGCCCAAGCCCAGCCATCCAAAATTTTGTTTCACTCCCGGCACTCCAGACTCACCCGCACACCCTTCGGAACAATCGAAATACAACACCAAAAAAAAAAAAAAGCACCAAGAAACCAATTCCGTACATTTCAATCCAACGAAAATAAAAATAGAACGAAGCGAGAAAGAGAAGAAAAGGAAAAAGAAGGCCGATCATCACAGGGATCCAGTGTTCAATTTCGTTGTTTGTCTTTTATATTGCATCATCTTATGGAAGGGCAACTATCTTCATTTGCAAATGCTGGCCAAACTCGTAAGTGGTATGAATAAACCTGCATAACAAACTGTTGTGCCCTTCACATCTGTTAAAGGATTGCTTGAACATTTACCTATAAAGAAAATGTAAGACTTTGCTTCAGATAGTCATATTACTTGTTATTTCAATTCTCAAACTTCAATTTTCTGTTGAAATGCTATGTATTGTTGTCATATTACTTATTTCTTTGGGTAAATTACCCTGACCTCCCCTGCAGTTTCAAAAATTACACAGACCTCCCTTACTTTTGAAACTAATAAATAGATACCCCCTTCTGTTACCCACCCATCCAAATTCAAACAGATTTGGCTAATTTCATCGAAAATTATTGTTCAAATTCCAATTCAGTCCTTACCTCCCCCATACATATATATATGCCCATATATATACCCATCAGAACCATCATTTTCTTTGTTTTATGTATTTATTTTTTTATGAGCCGCTTCCTTGTAATTCCAATGAAAATGGAGTCTCGAAAACCCAAAATCCTTTCGATCCATCAAGATTTATATCTTAGGTCTTGGTGTTTGCACATTAAGTGTTTTTAGTTGGTAAATCCTTTCTTGTATGTAATCTTTATACCTGTGTATAAATCCCTTCTTTTTTCTTTCCCTTGTGCAATGCATTTCAATGCCTGTAAACATTTTCAGATCTCTCTCTTTCTCTCAAATATTTGTTAGAACTTGCAGTTTAGGATGTAATATTTTTTATTTTTTTATATATTTCTATTTTTCATTTTCGTTCTCTCTCTACTCAATTGGGCTACATATAAAACCAAATTATTGGAATTTAATGCTAAAAATGTCAACTTGTAAAGCTAAATAGACCAGGGGGTGAGGTGGGAGTGGAGTAGGGTCCTTGACCCATACTATTACTCACATATTGTCATTGCTACTGATATAAATGTAAAATGAAAAAATCATGTAATGTTATCACTATAACAATAATGGGAGCAATTTAATTTAATGGAAGAAATAATGATTAAATAGGTTTAGAATTATGATAATTTAATAATAAAAAATAATGGGTAAATTACATGTCTTTTTTTATTTTAGTTTTTGTAATTTAAATTTGAACAATTTTAATTTACACTTTCATTTTTGTTGTAATGTAACTGTAACAAACAGTTTAGAGCCATCTTATATGCATTGCAAGAATACTTATGCAGTATAGGAGTTATTAATAGAGAAATTTTAAAAAATTTAGGAAGTCATTCTATGTGTAATATAAAATAATTTATAAATACAGGATTAATTAACTAATTTTAAGAAGTTTAGGGGGCCTGCCATCCCACAACTCTAGCAATCTTGATTTGAAGTTATGTGGTTTTACTATTACATTGGAGGTGTTTGGGAATTGATTTTCTAGTAATGTTTTTTTAATTTTTAAGAAAAATGTGCATAAAAGTAAAAAAAAAAAATTTATTTGATAACTTGTAATTACTTTTTAATTAAAATCTAAGATTTTCAAAAAAGTTTTAATATATATATTTTTCAAATATTTTAGCTTTAATAAAAATTAGATTGCAGGGACCTAACCAAATTGGTAGGTATACCATCCATACAATTACTTGGAATTTAACTCTTAGGACCAAACTATGTGAAAATAATTTTTTATGAATTTTCTAATCCCAACATGAATTCGAAAAAAGAATTAATTGAGATGGACGTAAGTTAGATTGGATCTCTTAC